CTCCTTAATGAAGCTGTGAAGGATTCAGGGCCAATAGGCTGGGCTAAAAAGAAAATCGAAAGTTTAAGCAGAAGCAATAAAAGCATGCCCGAGGCGTTTTGCAATTATTATTTTTTTTCCCCTGCCTCTATTTAAAATTAATGAAATTCATTCAATCTACTTGAAAGCATTCATCTCATGGGTGTTACATGACATTCTCTCTCCCTTCCTCCCAAATTATGACATTTGACAGGAGGATAACGTTAGATCCATATTATTCGAGGATTCTTTCAACCCAGCAAAATCATCTTTTTTTTTTTTTTTTTTTTTGGTACTTTCCAGTCCAAACTGTGATTGTTACTCAGTCATCTTTATTAACACTGCTGTGGAAAAGATACATTTGTGAGTGTATATGAGTGTGAGAGAGTGAGAGAGTGGCAGGAGAAGGAAGGAAGGACGTCCGCGTGGTTTTCACGCTACAGAGGAGACGAGGTAGAGAGAGAATTTACATAAAGATTGCAAACTATTGTTCCAAAATAATTTTTATAGTGGCATGCACTTCGCTGCTCCGCTGGCATTTGATCTGATCCCAATCTGCATATTGAGTGTGATATGTATGAATCGACCATTTGAAGGTGGTTTTCTCAAGAGACAAGGAAAATTTAAAAAAAAAATTAAAAAAGGTTGAACTGGACAATTTACAGTTTTTGAATGGAGTCTCTTGAGATACATATTGTAAATGCATTGATTTGTTGGGATTTCTTGCACTGGCCAGTTCCCCTGTCCAGTATTTCAAAACGATCCATGAAACCGAAGAATCCTGATGGATGCTACATCAATGGAGCATAAAATGTTCTCAGTTCAATACTATAATTGTAACCTGTCCAATTTAATAAAAATACTACAGTATGTTGCATAAAAAGATATCACCAATGTCTATTTATGAACAGCCCAGTTTGCAGGAGACTTTAGTTTTATTGGAAAATGCAACTAGGAGGTTACTCATCCCTAACCTTCTACAAGCTCCTTTTCTGGGCAAACAGACCCCTTTAAATGTAGTGCTGGAGGACAATTGCCTTCTAGACATGCCTCTCTCTCTAAAACCCATGAAATGCCCAGAGAGAGTTTTGTAAATTAAAAAAAAAAAAAACTGGTGTTAGAGACTAGTAGAAATGATGGAGGTGGTGGATTTAATGCCTCTCTTAATTATCATTTCAAATGGTCTGTGGGGAAGAGCCCCCGCTTAATTAAAGGGGTATTAGACTGATCTCTTTTTTTTATTCCTTAATTATTTGTTGCTTTGATTTCATTTGATTCGAAAAACAGTGGGCAGCTCAGGGTGTTCTATGGAAAATGAAATGTGGCCGTATTCGATATTTGGAGTGGCGCAGCCCACATGAGACGCATAATGCGAAGATGATAGCAATCAATAGCACTCTGCCTAATTGAAGTGCCATTTTCTGAACAGTCCTCGACACCAACGGTACCTTGTCGTTTTATCGTTTCAATTACCGCCTGAATTTTCCCATATTTTGCGGATAACCAGGGAGAAAGAGTCTGAAACATCATCTTGTGGACTCTTTGGGGGTTCAGAACGAGCACAGCAGCCCCCCCCCTTGCTTATGATGTATGTGTCAAAACTCTTTTTCTGCCACCACTGGCAATGCGTCTTACTTGGCTGGCTTGCTGGAGCCACCTGAATGTTTAATTATTCTCTAGTTGAGCAATAACCATAATCAGCAGTTCTCCACAAGATGTTGGACTGCTTCCACGGACCCAGAGTTCATTAGCACCTCTCGCAAAGAATTATTCACCTCGGCGTGATGGAAGAATTGCATTTCTGCGCTCGATTCAAAGTGCTGTTATTAACCTTTGAAAGTTGGCTAGAGAAAGCACTGGCAATTTAATTGTGCCTTTATTTATTTGCATTTTTCTTGGCGACCTCACCTTTGCACCAGCTCAAGTGGGCCAAGGTTTCTCCACAGTCGAGAAGGCAGAGCTAGGATGAAAGCATCTTAGGACCCGAGGCTGCCCCAAAGAACAATTTTATCCAGATTTATCCAGATTTCTCCCTCTACTTTCCATCTTTTCCAGTTGCTACTTGGGACTCTGAAACCTGGATTTTGAAAAAAGGCAGCTGTGATGCTGGAGGCAACTATTATGCATCCATGGACTACAAAAATGTCAAACAAAGAAGTCCTAGACTGGACCTCACCAAAAACATCACTTGACGAATGAAGGCAAATATACATGTCCCAGAATAAAGTTGTAGGATTGAATATGGGTCAATCACCGGGACAAGAGATGTAGTCTTCCATGCTTTTTCGGACTTGTGTTAGAGGTCATCCTCAGGGAACTTTTCAATCTCCAGGATGTGAGGTTGAAGATTTCTGATTTCTGAGAGAGAGAAGTTCCTTCAGGATGGGCTCCAACGCAAGTCTGAAAGCTCAGAAGACTAAACCTCTTGTCCCGGTGACCCACCCAGATTGGATCCTACAACACTGAATCCTGCAATATCAGCTGAAGCCAAGGTTGCCAAACAGAGGCAGTCATACTTTGGTCATGTCATGTGAGCTGACTCACTTGAAAAGTCAATCCTGCTGGGAGTGATCAGTGGGAAAAGGAGAAGAGGCCACCCTAGTACCTGCTGGCTGGACACTATAAAGGATGATGCCAGGATCACCATGGCAGTTCTCAAGTACAAGGCAGAGGAGCATGGAGAGTGCTGATCCATAGAGTGACTGAGGGTGGAACACAACTGAATAGCTGATGATGATGACGTTCACTTTCCACCATAAAGTTCTTCTCCAACTCGTCCGGTTTTGCTAATAATCCAGATTGCAGCCAGAGAGGAAGACAACTGTTGAAGCCATCCATCAGCTGCATAAAAATCTCTCTCTCTCTCTCTCTCTCTCTCTCTCTCTCTCGTCCTTCATTGCAAAGGTACTGCCATTTCTAAAGGACACAACGAAATAGGAGCAGACCAACATTCTGCCATTGGTCTCATCCCTTCCTCTTTCTCTGCCTGGCCAACATTCAGGAGCTACAATAACACAAGTATCAAAATGCAGGTGTTAAGGGTGGATGGTAAAAGGGTTTGAAAGGAGCTGGGGAGGGGTTGTGTCAGGGAGTCCTTTGGTTCCCATCTGCCTCTCATCAAAAGGTCTTCTTTGAGGAGCATTATTGATGGTGTACGCAGCACTTGGGTGAAGAAAAGCAGTGGGAGATTTCTGTAATTGCAAGTCCTGAAGAATTTAGCATTTTATTTCGAAGCTGAGGCTTGGCGAAGAGGGGTAAGGGGTGCACGGCGGGGGGGGGGGGAATAGGTTGCTGCAAATCCATTCAAGAGCTGGGCCAAGCGAATGGTGTTTAACACAAGTTAATCACATGGCAGAACTGTTGTTTTATCTGTGTAGAGCAGGTCATCCCTCTTCTTCCTTTTTTTTATTTTCATAACAAAGATACATCAAACGTTCTGCAGTTCTTATCATCTTCCATCTTGCCTTGGGTAAATTCAAATAGTTATTTTCTTTCTTTGTTCATTTTTAGACTAAAAGGGGGAGAGAGAGAGAGAGAGAGAGAGAGAGAGAGAGAGAGAGAGAGAGAGAGAGAGAGAGAGAGAGAGAGGGAGAGAGAGAGAGAGAGAGAGAGAGAGAGAAAAGGGATTATCTTGCCTGAAGTCTTCCTGCCTCTGCTGCTTTTCAAGACAAAAGGAGCCTTATTTGACTAATGCTAAGTTTCAGATGGGGTAGAAATGTAGCCAGTAATGAATGTGCATGCTTCCACTTGATTGTCCTATTGTAATCCATGTTTTTTCCTTCCTTCTTTCCTTCCTTCCTCTCTCCCTCCCTTTCTTCACTCTCCTTCCTTCCTCCCTTCCTTCTCTCTTCTTTCTTGCTTCCTCCCTCTCTCCCTTCTTTCACTCTACTTCCTTCCTTCCTTCCTTCCTTCCTTCCTTCCTTCCTTCCTTCCTTCCTTCCTTCCAACTCAAAGCAACATACATAGTATCTTTCCTGTAATTCAGAGATAGAGAGAGATAATAGATAGATAGAGATAGAAGAGATAGATAGATAGATAGATAGAGATAGAAGAGATAAATAGATAGATAGATAGATAGAGATAGAAGAGATAGATAGATAGATAGATAGATAGATAGATAGATAGATAGAGATAGAAGAGATAGATAGATAGATAGATAGATAGATAGATAGAGATAGAAGAGATAGATAGATAGATAGATAGATAGATAGATAGATAGATAGATAGAGATAGAAGAGATAGATAGATAGATAGAGATAGAAGAGATAGATAGATAGATAGATAGATAGATAGAGATAGAAGAGATAGATAGATAGATAGATAGAGATAGAAGAGATAGATAGATAGATAGATAGATAGAGATAGAAGAGATAGATAGATAGATAGATAGATAGATAGATAGATAGATAGAGAAATCGATAGAGATAGATATAGAAGAGATAGATAACAGATACTGTAGATATAGAAGAGATAGATAGATAGATAGATAGATAGATAGATAGATAGATAGATAGATAGATAGATAGATAGATAGATAGATAGTTAGAGAGAAACAAAAAATAATGGCAAAAGAAGCCCATAGAGAACCTGGATTTGCTTAATGACCTCATGATTCCTTTAACAACTGCCATAAAAATTATTGTAAAATCAGATCCAATTCGAATTACCACCACAATGATGCACAAGGAAAATTCTGGTCTCCGTGGCGGCGGTGAGTCAAGGACTACCCTTAATGTGCTATGTAGTTTTATATCTCTTCATTCTTATAGGTTTTAACCCATGAAAGTGCATGGCAGCTTTCCCTTACCAGCGGTGGGGGGGGAGGGGAAGGGGGGAGAGAAGGAAACGGATCCTTTCCACACCTAACCGGAGAGCGATAGCAATTATACGAACCTGCCCAGCTGATTATTAATTATTCTTCCAAGTCCTCTTGGCTGCACTGCAGGAGTTATATATTGCTAACCTTTTATCTTATCACCTAGGAAAATGTGAGCAAAGCTGAGGAAATCGTTACTCACCAATGAACTTCGGAGAAGAGCCGGAGGGGAAATGAGAACCTGCAGGGGGAGAAAATGGAGCTGAGCCTTGGATGTGTTACCCTGAGCTCTTTCGTTCGCTGGAGGTGTGCTGAGATAAAACCCTTCGGTGAGGAAGATACCAACTTGCAAAGAATGAGTGAAAAAGTCAAGGAAGTGGAGGAGAGAGAAGTGGAAGATAGGGAAATAACATTATTAGTGATGTTTTGCGTTGGATGTGGTGATTCTGCAACCATCTCACATTAGACTGGATCGAGGATCAGCGCACTTCCTAAAATCTACAAAACAATGAAAGGAGGGGTGGTTTCTTTTAAAGTAACATCAGTGAAGAAATAAGTGGTACGTTCTCTACTTTTCCTTTGCCATTTCGTTTCTTTGGCACCCATCCTCCTTGGTATTTTTATCCGTAGAATAGAATAAGCCATCTCTTAAGACCCTTATTTAAGAAAATATGGTAGATGAAGAGAAAGAAAGCTAGTTTGGCGTAGTGGTTAAGGTGCTGGCCTAGAAACCAGGAGACGGTGAGTTCTAGTCCTGCCTTAGGCAGGAAAGCTGGCTGGGTGATTTTGGGCCAATCATCAGGAGATGGTGAGTTCTAGTCCTGCCTTAGGCAGGAAAGCTGGCTGGGTGATTTTGGCCCAATCATCAGGAGATGGTGAGTTCTAGTCGTGCCTTAGGCATAAATGCTGGCTGGGTGATTTTGACCTGGATAACTGAGAATCTCCACAGAAATTTGTCCAGGGCACCGTTTCCATGCCTGAGCTCTGAGCAATGTTCTCCAGTTTTCTCCACTACCGTGTCTGGAACACGTACTGGGGCTGAATTCCCCAGCAAGAATTAGTCCAGAGAAGATCCCTGACTCAAATAACAGTGAACCATGTTGCAGCTGCCTGAAAAATATGTAACTCTGCTTGCGGATATGTTTTTTAAAAATGTGTGACAGACAATCCGTTTAGAGTATAGATCACTAATAAGTATACCGTTGAGTTCCTTCAAAGTTTGACATGTGTTTATCTGTCAGTATTAATTTGTCATGTAAGCCAAGTGATAGGCTAAGTTTGGGCATGTAGGGGGTCAAATAAAGGCTACATTTAAAAAGGAGAGTAGGAGACAACCCATTAAAGTTCCAATTGAGCAAGTAATAATTTACTTCTTACCCAAACGTATTTATGAAAGATTGATAGTTCATATCATTTTTTAAGGCTCTTTAGAGATTCATGTGTGACTTTTCAGAGCATCCGTCTAATGATATGTTTTAATTAAAATGTTTTTAAGTGTCAAGTGAACCCCAAATTCATGGCAGAAAAAGAACACAACTTGACAACACGGTCTGTTCAGCCATCTAGCCATCCATCCACCTGTCCAACCAACTATCCATCCATTATACATTTATGATTTAGATAAACACTAGATAGCTTTCTTGATATTATTGTACTTTAGTTCCCATGATTGAGGTAGGTGGGTAGTTGAAGTCCAAGAACTTCTGGAGGCCTCTTCTTTTCTGATCCACAAAGGAAGATAATATAAAATAACTCCTCACATGAGGCCTTCTCAGATCAAAAAATGTGGGCAAATAAGCAATGTTGGTAGGAGACAGAATTGTCTTTTAATGTTGTCTAGCCTTGGCAAGCTTGGAAATTAAGCAAGGTTTGTGTCTAGTTAATACTTGGATGGGACACATTTGAGTGCAGGTTAGACTGGGAAGCTGGAACAATAAAATCTGGAGGAAAGCAATAATAATTATTCCTTAATTATGAACCATGGTGGTGCAGTGGTTAGAATGCAGTATTGCAGGCTAATTCTGCCGACTGCTAGCAGTTCGATCCTCACCGGCTCAAGGTTGACTCAGCCTTCCATCCTTCCGAGGTCAATAAAAAGAGGACCCAGATTGTTGGGGGGGGGGGCAATTCGCTGATTCTGTAAACTGCTTAGCGAGGGCTGTAAAGCACTGTGAAGTGGGATACAAGTTTAAAATAATTTCCATACTGTTCAAGAAATCACCATGTATTCAACATGACTCCCCCCAAAAATGCTAACTTTACTTTTAACTATCCAAAGTAAGATAATAATAATAATAATAATAATAATAATAATAATAATAATAATAAAGTTGGAAGGGACCTTGGAGGTCATCTAGTCCAACCCCCTGCTCAGGCAGGAAACCCTATACCATTCCAGACAAAGGGCTGTCAGTCTCTTCTTATATTCCTCCAGTGTTGAAGCATTCACAATTTCTGGAAGCAGGTTGTTCCATTGGTTAATTGTTCTAACTGTCAGGAAATTTCTCCTTAGTTCTAGGTTGCTTCTCTCCTTGATTAGTTTCCATCCTTTGCCTCTTGTCCTGCCTTAAGGCACTTTGGAGAATAGCTTGACTCCCTCTTCTTTGTGGCAGCCCCTGAGATATTGGAATACTGCTATCATGTCCCCCCTCGTCCTTCTCTTCGTTAAACTAGACATACCCAATTCCAGCAACTGTTTCTTATATGTTTTAGCCTCCAGTCCCTTAATTATCTTTATTGCTCTTCTCTGTACTCTTTCTAGAGTCTCAACATTTTTTTTACATCATGGTGACCATGCAGTATTCCAAGCGTGGCCTTACCAAGGCATTGTAAAGTGATATTAATACTTCACATGATCTTGATTCTATCCCTCTGTTAATGCAGCCCAGCACTGTGTTGACTTTTTTGGCAGCTGCAGCACACTTGCTGGCTCATATTTAAGGGATTGTCCACTAGGACTCCGAGGTCCCTCTCACAGTTACTACTATTGAGCAAGGTACCCCCTATACTATACCTGTACATTTGGTTTTTCTTGCCTAAATGTAGAACCTTACTTTTTTTGTTAAGGAAGAACAAAGAAAGTCTAGTTGCCTCTTGAAAAGACCCCTTTGAGACATGGACTAAAGATGTTTTCCTTTGTTAGGTATGTGCTCAGCATCCACGACAATCATATTTCAGTGATGTTTACACTGGCAATTGCCCACTGACTTAAATTATGTATAAATGACTAGACAAAAGTTGAGGGGTTTTTTTTCGTTTTTTGCATGATTCGGTATGTTTTTTTCAGATGAACCCTACCGCTGGTGAGGAATCACAGTGCAAGGGAACAGCACGTACATTGCAAACGGAAAGTCCCAGATTCAGCTGTTTAGCTCTAAGTGTAAAGGACCTGAAGCAAGCAGCTAGAAATTCAACTGAAAAGAAAGATGGTGCCTGGAAGTACACAAAGATTTGTCAAGCCTTTGGCGCAGCATATTTTGCGAAGGCAGGCAGGATGGTTTGCAAACTATGGTTTATCTCTCACCACATTGTATGTGAGCTCATCCATAGAGGATTGCACAGCTAGCCGGCTGGGATTGTGAAGGCGGGTGAAGCTTGGGTAGACCTACAGATCATCTGATGAAGGACTTCCTAGCTAAAATCAGACTTGAATAATACCAGCTGGCTTATCTACTAGCGTGAAATTCTTGAGCTGTTGAAAATTAATGTAGAAGGAGGGAGTATCTGTCTGCAGCAGAAGACAACAGAAGAGGCAGGTTCAGCTTGAATGCTTCCACGTTGGAATGACAGCAGCAACATTTATAGAGATCAGCTGCAGCTCTGCAGGTAAGATTCATACTATTGAATGCTTGATGGCTGAAAACCAGGACTGTATCTTTTCACTCCAAGGCTCAAAATCAGCCAGCGCAGATGGATTCTAGTCTGTCTCTGCTTTGACTTTTCTTTTTCTTTCTTTAATCCAACACAATCTTATCAAACAGACACAAGAGGCAAAAGGAACCACAATCATGTCCATTTCGCTCCTCTTCAGCTTTTATTGTTTTTCTTATAACCCTGGTCATCTCAACCTGAGCAAGGGAGTCAAGCTATTCTCCAAAGCACCTGAAGGCAGGACAAGAAGCAACAGATGGGAACTAATCCAGGAGAGAAGCAACCTAGAACTAAGGAGAAACTTCCTGACGGTGAGAACAATTAACCAATGGAACAGCTTTTCTTCAAAGGTTGTGGGTGCCCATCACTGGAGGCTTTCAAGAAGAGACTGGACAGTGGTGTAGGGTCTCCTGTTCATGCAGGGAGTTGGGCTAGATGACCTCCAAGGTCTTTTCAACTCTGTTATTCTATGTTCTATGTTCTGGCCTGCAGTCTTTGCCTTCTTCCAACAACCGAACGTGGATATGACTCTGTAGCGGCATTTATTCATCTCTGTGCCAATGGGTCATAATTTCCTCTTGAAAGTGAGGCATTATAGGAAGCAAAGTAGCTAAAAGGCAAGTGTATTAATGCAGTTTCAGCTTAAGGAACAGTTTTCCTTAAGGCATTCGGCATTTATGTTTGAAAAGGATGGAGGGCTGTCACAGAAATGTCTAAAGCTTTTTATTTCCAGCTAGACCAATAGTAGTCCAGCATTTAGATACATTTTAAATCTAAATCCAACAGGAAAAAAAGGGAGGGGGGAATAGATTAAATATTCATTTTGGATATCTTTGGAATGGTCCATGCAAACAATTTCCAAACACAAGCCTCTAAACAGTGCCAACAAGTCTAATTGTTTGTGTCCTGCCATTTATTCTCAACTGACCTTCAAAATAAAAATGTCAGATAGTTTTAAGGGATTCAAAACGCTGGTTGGATGCTAGGGATTGCCACAAAAATCCATTGAAGCTGGAATTTACTTTCTCTCCTCTCTAATCATCCTTCTCATTCCAAAGACATTTGAGAGGGGTCAACCCCAATCCAAATGATCGTTGGTTTTAAAACAAATAAGCAAGTCAGTAAGGCAAGAGGATCCTGCTTCCAAGGGACAATTTTTAAAAATAAACTTGTGAGTTTGAAGAGGAAACCATCCGAGCGTGCTGCATTTCGTTAAATCACACAGTGAAGTTCAATGGCTCGAAAATGTTTAATGAGAACAGCGTTTCGGTAAAGGGAAGACTGTGGAAATGAGAATTTTAACGAGATGTCCTGCTTTAATGATGGGAAATGTGATTTTTCCCCCCCATCCTAAAAAAGAAAGTTATTTCTCTTTCACCTTGAAAATGAGAGTTTGTCTCCAAGTTTCTTTTCATTAGAAAAAAAAAGCAAGAAGAATGTACAGATAATCCTCAACCTACAACAGTTCATTTAATGACTGTTCAAAGCTAAAACGGCACTGAAAAAATGTGATTTGTGACCGTTTTTCACCACTTACAACCGCTGCAGCATCCCCACGGTCACATGATCAAAAATTGGATGCTTGGCAACTGACTCATATTTATGACATTTGCAGTGACCCAGAATCACGTGATCCCTTTTTGTGACCTACTGACAAGCAAAGTGAATGGGGAAGCCAGATTCACTTAACAACCATGATACTAACTTCACAACTGCAGTATTTTACTTAACAACTGTGGCAAGGAAAGTTGTAAAATGGGGTAAAACTCAATTGACAACTGTCTCACTTAGCAACAAAAACGTTGGGCTCAATTGTGGTGGTAAGTCAAGGACAACAGCTATCATCATCTGAAGGTGCTGTGAAGGTTACAATTCTACCTTGGATGATCCTCCAGTTCTCTTCTTTCAGCAGAGGTATACAAAAGGTTTTAAATTTGAATCACTTGGGGCTCACAATAATTCCGCCCTGTTCTGAACCTTCTGGAATTTCTGATCCGCTTCTTTATTGTGGATGTATTTTGAGTGTAAACTTTCGAATGGAACCGCTTTCAGTTCGAAACCTTTCTGGCACGGTTAAAAGAGTAGTTACAAAATGAGTAAAGGGGCTTTCTAAATTTGAAGTGCTTTCCATTTGAAATACCCTCCGTACCACAACATTTTAGAGAGCAAGGGGAAGTTCCAGTGAAAAACGAGAAGAGTTTTCCTGGAGCTGAACGTGGCCCAAAGCGATCGTAGAATTCAGGGTCATCCAATGAAACTAATTAACAGGAAGTTCAAGAGAGGTGAGACTAAGCCTTCTTCAAAGGCTCAGCCAGGGCCGTCTCTGCCATTCATTTAATTTGTGATGGTGTCTCTTGTTTCATTGTCACCGATGTGATTTTCTGCGTCATATACTAATATAATTTGCTTAACGTTGAGTTCCTTGGTCTTCTTTGGGCAACAGAATGTCTCAGTTTGATCCTGCCACTTGCTTAGGAAGCTACGAAACAAAAAATAAGATAAATTAACGGAGATTAAGGCAACCCATGACTTTGATTTCTGAAGCTCTGTGCCATTGAATATTCGTTGCTAAGGAGCTACTGCCTGCATCCTTCACGTGAATAGAAAAACGTGGTTAGCCACCTTTGGAAGAAGGTGTGGGAACTTTATTGTATATCTCTCTCCCTTCCATAGTGACCAACCAGTTGTCTTCAGAAGTCAATGAATTGTTCTCCTCAACTGATTCGCTTTGCCCACATCAAATGGGAATTTGGGAAGCTCTAATTACACTAGATCCAGAGGACCATATTCAGGGGATGTGAAATGAATGGAATTTGGGTCTCAGTTACCAATTTAATGTTAATAGTTTTCACTCATATTTGCCCTGGTATCCTTACTCAACAAATATGACCATAATGGTTCAATTATGGTCGTACGTTGAGGAGTACCTGTATTTTTATTCAACAAAAATGCCACCAGGAGTTTAGGGGACATTATGTGATTCCCGGGGCTTTCATCTGATGAGGGAACACAGAGTAGAATCAGGGTTAAAATCCTGATTGATACGAATGTTGGCTTACTTGTCTGCCTCTTTATGTCACTATAAGGCAACTGTTTAAGGTTTCAGCTTTGAGTACTTCACAGTCAAGTTCCAAATCAGCTATTCTGCAGGAAAGGCCAAACAAAATCTTCATAATAACCAAGAGGAAGACAGCTATTTCAATGTGTGGGCAGCAATCTGAATTATAATGCAAGGGCAACAGAGCAGTTGATAGTGCAGTCGGCTTGTGCTTGTACCTATATAATCAAAATAATTGAAGTTCTGACTCGAGAACGATAAAAATAGCAATGTTATAGCAGGAATAAAATGAAAATCAGTGGCAGGAGAGATAGAACAAGAGGGCCTGAGGGTGACAGACCTGGGATCTGTCACTAGGATATCTTGTATTTTTAAGATCTGAATCAAGTTTCACTGTACAGGGATTTTACTCTAGAGATTCCTGATGGTTCTTAAATCAGGAGAAACGGTGGCTGGAGTGGAGCTGAGAACTGCCTGGAATCTGGTGAATTAGACAGTAGCAAATCTTTGGCATAAAGATTAAAAAAAATTCAACGGATTATCCAAAAAACCAAAACCCAGCCATCTCACAAGATTTTGGCATTCCCACTCCAGATCTTGGACGATTTCAAGTAAGAATCTTGCCACGTCTTTAAGGATTGATGATCTTCTAAGATTAGGCCGTATTATTTCTTTCTTTTTCTTTTTTTTTTGAAGTCTTTTTTCAAATGTTGGAGTCCTACAAATAATATCTAGAGTAAAATGTATGTCGTGTGGCTGATCCGTGGCTTATGTGGTAGGTCTCAAAAGCTTTCAATGGTTATATTGGTCTTCATAAAGAGACACTTGGAATGCATTGATAAACAGAGCAAAAGTTACATATCATGTAAACTGGAAGAATATAACCCAGTTTAACCCAACTTCAAATGAGGATTTGACATAGTGTTAATTCATAGACTATCCAAAGACTAGGGACAGGGATTTTAAGATATTAAGACTGTCATCTGAGCCAGGATCCTGTCTTCAGGAGGTCATGCTTTGAGCAAGAGATGATAATGAGTTTGATGATAATGATGTTATCCATTCAGTCATGGCCGACTTTTTGGTGACTCTATGGGCCTGGTTTCTCCACATCTTCCAATCTTGCACTACTTCTTTGGGTAATGAGTCCTCAGATCCGAACTTTGGGGCCACTAGGAAAACAATATTTATGAAAGGCATCCTGAGCAGAGTGAAGGTTCTCCCTTTATAAGAAGCAATCTGCCCAAATGTCTATGGAGATTCTCAGTCATCCAGCTCATGGTTATCCCAAAGGTGCTTTTTCAAGAGAGAAAGAGAATCTCCGTAGACATTTAGCTATGCTCCTGGGGGTGAACACCCTTCGAATGCTGCGGGAGTATGAAGGTATTTCCAGAATATAAATCCTTCCATCCTCTACCGTTTGGTCAGAGCTGAAGAAGCTTGGATGAGAAGTGAAACATCTTCAAGGAAAAAAACAAAGTCCAGTTGCCTTTTGAAAAAGCACCTTTGGGACAATCTGCCCAAAGTTATCCCGAAACTTGTATGAACAATTTAACAGTAACAGATTCTCCTAGAAGAGAGAAGCTGGTTCATCAGAAAGCGTCAAAGAAACCTGTTAGCAAAGAACAAAGTGGCTTCGGGAACAGATCTAAAGAGGAAGTCTCCTTGCCAAGGCCTGTCTGACTGCACATTGAAAAAGGCCCAGCTTATTAAATTAGCATGAACAAAGCGATTCCCATCAACATGGGCTGGAGTAGCTTCACCTGCCAGCTCCAAACGCTGCATCCGATGTGTTTGATGATGAATTCTCATTTAGCATTAACAAGTCCAGAGTGCCAGACAGCTGGAATCGTCATTCAGAGCGGTTGGCTCTTTTGAT